TTAAATTCATGTGTACCCCCGCCTTAAGTACGGCAGAAGAGCGGCATTTGAATCAGTTTGGCTCGGCAGGTTAGGTTTGGTGCGGCAAACAATATTAAATTCGGCAGGGTCTGTCGCACCATGCGACGTTGGAGCGGCAGCTGATTCATAGGGCGTTCTCCTCATGGGTCGAACCTAATGCATAAATTATTGTAATGTATTTTTCATATAACGGGACTCGTGATTGGCTCAAGATTGAGTGGCGTGACCAGTCATGCATGAAGCTGGAAGTCGTCACTGAAAATAAACACAACGAAATTAAATATGCCTTGGATTTAAGAGAAACAGGACTGTACAAGCAAGTTTCTTTCGCGCAAATTCATTTTTTGCTTTTTCTTCGTGATAAAAGCCCAGGTTATGCGATTTCCCTTTAACAAGTCGAATTAACCGGGAAAGAGCAATTTATTATTTTTATCCTTCAACCTGTATTGCATGTATAATACAACTTTCTAAGATGCCATATTAAACCTCTATTAGCTTACTACAAGTTTTCAGCTGATGACATGCACTGAAGTGGCAAAACAAGGCACGGTGAATAACACACCACAGGGAGCACACAATCTTGCTGAGTAGGAAGAGAGTAAATAAAGGAATGAAAAGAATGATTGAATACCGTAAACTTCCGAAAGTAACGATCCCCCGAAGCTAACGTCAAAAAATTGTGGCCGCTAATAAATCCCGGAAGTAGCGACCCCCGAAAGTAGCGAATCCTCCGAAAGTACTAAGCCCACCCCCACCCCCACCCCCTCTCCGAAAACTGTCAGACCCAGGTTCAGTAGTACATTCCTTTTTCCATTCAATAGTCAGGTGAAAGTTACCGTCCGATCACTTGATATAAGGCACTCTAAAACAAGGGAAGGTATCGCTTATGCCACGAAGCGTGGTGAAATGTCAATTCGTACTTCGTCAGTTCATGTTGCACCGTGTTTTAAAATATATAACCAGTAAAATTTTCATAAAGTAACAAGAACATCCTAACATCCTATAAAATCAAAACTGACAACTCTGTATCATTTAAACATGAGTTTATTAAGAGGACCGTTTCTTCAAAGAAACAACGAAGCTGTCAAATATCACGATATAGTGAAACTAATGCCTGGGGAA